CAGAGTGCCCCCTCTAATTCCTGGATCAGTCACCGCATGTGAAATATATACTCACCGCCTTCTATGTGTACAGCGATAAATTACAACACTCTTAAATAATTCAATTTACCCCACGCTGCTGTTTAAGTTAAATAATCAATGCACACAACCTGTCCCACTTTCAAGAAACACGCGCTTCCAAGCCTCGGTTTCGTAAATAGGTTACACATTTCGAAACTAGGTCAGATATGTGGGTTAACTCACGTATAATCTTCACTGATAGAGGCAACAACTAGAACCCACAGTACACTGAAACAATTAGCTTGATTAAATATGTTTGTTGCTAATTGTTTCAAAGAAAGTCAGGGCTACCTTGCGTTTACAAAAAAATTGCGTCTAGTCAAAAAAAAAAAAAAAAAACACTAATGGGGACAAGATCCTACATGTGTCCATTAGTTTGGTAAGGTAGAAAATACTAGTAGTTTACATATTTGTGTTTGAAAGATGTGAGAGTGGCACCACTTCTTTGATTCTGAAACTTTATGTGAGTCAAAACGCAAATATAAGGACACTTGTACTGATGTTTATTTCAATTTAAAATGTATGACGTAATGACATTTGAAAATATTGACAGTGTCATAATGATTCTGACTAATAACGTATAATCTTACCTCTTTAGCATATCAAAAATCAATATATGCCATCCATTTCAGCAAAACGTGAATATACAACTACTATTGAAAAAAAGATATCTTACAATATTGTACTAGTACAATGTACTGGCTAAAACACTTTTATAAGTTTTCAGCACTAAAAATGACTTGGCAAACATGGTATTGTCAATTCCAGTGCAACATTCTGAAAATTAAAATAGATTTTATTTAACTAACCAAATATAATCCAGCTGAAGTTTGAAGCTGTATTAAGCTGACCAACATCATTCACAACAAAACAAAAAGAAGTTTGAAAAAAACTTTAGAAAACATGGCATCTGACAGATGAATATAAGAATTCAAATAGTTGCAATTGCAGCTGTTTGTAGTATGTGCAAAATTTATTTGCAATGAACATCATCATCATCAACATCTTTATCTGAAAATGGTAATGGTCCTTTCATTTCCACACAGTGACAACAATATAAGAATTTTAAAACGGGGTTAACTACTGGACTAAGATTATTTATTTTCCCTTAAATTGGGTAAGTACCACACTTAAGACTAATCAACATAATTACCCTCATCCCTTGTTTGAGATACATGTTATGTTCTATTTGTAAGGATGGTAATGCTAATTTCAGACCATTTCCCCATCCACCCCTTTCTTCCTATAAAATCCAACAAAAGCACGAGCTTCTTGCTTTCTGCATAAAGATTATTTGTGCACAAACATTTAACCTACCACTAACCCATTGATTATACAACCTCTATTTCCAATACAATTCCAATACACGGCAGTCTGATTAAAAACTACGGTCATAATCCTATCCGTTTCAAGCAGCACTGGTATTCAAGATGGAGAGTGCGGGACATTCTAGCTGATAGGAACATTTCCAAAGCCTAGATAGTTCCTTGAACCTCCATTAATTAGAGTTCATTGACCCAAAATGTTTTATCTCTTTACTTATTAATTGCTAAATCCATTTTTGTACTAAAAGCAAAACAGATAAATTAGAGTGGAAATGCTTTACATAAGTGACATTATTAAATTTCAAATTTTAAACTGTAAAATTGGAGCCGGTAGATTTTCTGACTGATCAATTTGAAATCATATTTTACCCAATGAGCCTTTGGACTCATGCACTTCCAGACTAAGAGGGCATACCCTTTCAGATGATGTTTTAGCTTCTGCCACTGAAGTAATCGGTGTAGTCTACAAGGTAGGGCTACCAGCTTGATAGTGACCATCATAGGAATTCATCCTGAATTTTTCTACTTTTGCTTGCCAGAAACTGGCTTCAGAATAAGTGTTTCTTGCTGTTATTCTGTAAATTAACAGGAATTTAGCCAGCGAAACTTTCAATAAGAGTCCAAGTATTTTTTAATGTATTCTTATTCATGACCACTCTGTGATGAAATGGACAGCACCATAGTTAACTCAGGGTGTTAGGAAGTTTAGTTAATATACAACATTTACTACACATTTTGCTCAACAACACCTAAATAATAAGCCACCAACCATATTATTCTTTCATTTGTGTGCATCTTTCACAGTCATCGTTTTTTAATATTTTCTTCATTGTGTTCAGACATTTAGCAAAATCTTGTCAGTTTTTACACAAATCACTTTAACTTTTTTTTTATCAAAATATTTTAACCATGTTGCCAAATCCATCAGTCTTTTACAAAACTAACAGTCACTGTATTTAAAGGTTATTTTCCGTTGCTTTCTTGCATTCAAAGAAGCAACTTGAAAGCTTGCTTTTACTTTGACCAACTACAAATATGAACATTCCATTTGCTTGTAGTTCCCCGACTGACCCTGGACTTCAGATGTCAACAGAAAAATCATAGGCATACTGATAATAAAGATATCAATTACCAATCATCTGAAACTCAGGGTGACAAGGTTATGTTCCACAGTTTTACATTGGTGTTTATATCGTGTATCTTTGCTTACTTCATTTTTTTTTTCAAATTTGACAAATTGTAAAAATTAAATGAATGCAACATTTGATTTGATGAGTTTGAATAAAATCAAAAGTCAGAGGTGATTACTTTTTGCCCATGACAACAAAAAACTAGGATTGCATGTAAACCTTTTCTCTTTTTTTTCCATACATTTTCTACAATCACCAAATGACTCATAACTAGCATCCTTTATTCCCATACTAAGAAGTCTAACACTAAAATATCAATATCTTTTCAAAGGCTTTGCATACATAATTCATACCATGCACTAAAAGAGTATAAATGCTGATTTAACATTTACAAATAGAACTGATTATATCGAAGTTTGAAATAGTCACTAAAACAACAAACATAACCCTGGGTAACCTTGACAACACTATCAACAATTTGACTACACCACTGAAGGTTTTCGTGTTGCCTAGGAAATAAAACCTGCCATAGCAACAAAGAATATTGTTGCACTGGTAATTAACATGGTTTAAATTTAAAAGAAGATTCCACTGGCACTAAGTACTTACATGGCTACAGCAACAAACTAAGATAAATCTTTTTTTCCATTCGAACTAAGAAGATGGAGGATAGTCCACCCTCTTTGACAGAACTTGGCAAATTACACTGGAGTATTTGAGTAAACAAAAATAACTTATAAAACTGACAAACAAAGGCAGTATTTTACCATGGGAGCAGACTGCATAAACAAAACAATGCACTACATCATTATGATCTCGTTAATTTTGGGTGGAAAATTTATGCTTTTTAAAGAGAATCCTGAGTAAAAGGGCATCTCCTTACCACTCTTCCTGCCCCAATGTTTTTCAGAGCACAAAACCCAATTATGAAAACCTGCATATTTCCAAACTAGTTTCAAAAAGAAAGAGAACAATTTGTTTCTGCAGTCTGCTGCCCTCCCCCTCTTTCTATGTCAGTCTGTCACATTTGAAGGGACACAGATATTTACCCAGTACTACATATTTAATGTATTCAAAGTTGATCACCAGAGTGTCCCTTTGTTTTCAACAATATTTATATAAATGTACATGTGTCACGCTTTACTCTGTACATGTAGAAAATCCTTCGATGACAAGTCATATATAAACATACTGGTTACATATGATAATGATCATGACAAAGCAATGACAATGTGGATGGTAAAATTACAATTGCTTATGGTCCCCTGGGAGAACAATGGAACTGAATGAACACTGCGACACACAGGAACAGCCCGAAGACATGGAAATGGTGTTCCTGTAGCATGACATGTGAAAACTGTCATAAGAATGGCATAACACCCAACCACCAAGAAAGCTGATGGTACTAAACGACCTTCACAAAGAGTGATAGTTCTGATGAATGACCTTCACAAAGGGTGATGGTACTGAATGACCTTCTCAAAGGGTGATGGTACTGAATGACCCTCATGAAACGTTTTTAATAAATGGCCCTCATGAAGAGTGATGGTACTGAATGACCTTAACATAAGGTGATGGTACTAAATAACCCTCATGAAGTGTTTTTAATAAATGGCCCTCATGAAGAGTGATGGTACTGAATGGCCCTCATGAAGAGTGATGGTACTGTATGGCCCTCATGAAGAGTGAGTAACTGCGACTAGTCCAAAAGGTAAATAACTCACTACAATTGGACAAAAAAAGACCAACTAAATTTCACAATAGAAAAACCCACAAAAATTAGGATTAAAAATTCTGAAAGACCAGTACACAAATCCTGATCTAATGGCTGACTAAAATTGAAAAAAATTTTTGGAATAGTGAAACACAGAAATAAGTGGCATTTGAAATTTAAGGATAATTACCAAACCCTTTGTGAACATCTTTATTGTGATATGGTACCTTGGTTATAAGTTTCTGCAGCATGCTTCCTGATTCAGTGTAATACACAATTACATGTTTAACCTCATCAAACTGCTAACACGCTTAAAATTTGTAAAGTAATTTCTGTTGATATGCTTGTTCTTCTAGGATACCATAAAACCAAGAACTGTCCTGTGGCCATTACACATACTCTGTGGTGTCCATCTCTTAGGCTTCATTCACATGCAATGTCTATTTTCTAAATTCTATTTTCTATTTGCGGTATGTCTTATGATCACGGTCTGTGCCCTGAATATCCCGCCGCGTAATTACTGGCAGCGCGAGCCAGTTACTATAAGTTACTATAAGTAACTGGCTCGCGCTGCCAGTAATTACACGGCGGGATATTCAGAGCACAGACCGTGATCATAAGATAGCGCGAATAGAAAATAGATTTTTAGAAAATAGACATTCCATGTGAACGAAGCCTTAAAATCACCATTTCCTAACAGATTCTCAATATGTGTGACTCAACAATTGTTGATTAGAGTCCACTGATAATCGGAATGAATGACTGATGACATTTTTTTCTTTCTCATCTTCTCCTCTCTTATAGTATACTGGCGATAAAACCTCCACTTCCTAGGTGCCTTTGCATGGTATGACTAAATACTTTATTTCCTGCAACAATTTGCAACTCTCTTCATTCAATAATTCATATATCTTCATCAT